GTATTCACAATTTGAGCAAATTATGAATTTGTATCCGGCTAACAAAAACTCTCAAGTTTTCCATGAGTTCTCAGGGTAAGTCACTGGAATTTTTATCTTTGAGATTCAGTAGCTTAGATTTTTTTAACAATAGATTCAATTACCCTATCATGTTCCTTACTTGGGGCTCACGATGGCCAGCAACGACACATGCCCTCAGCTCGGACGGTTCGATTTCATTCCATGTCTCATTTGAGCATGTCTCACCATTTGAGCATGTCTCTCATTTGAGCATGTCTCACCATGCGCATTTGAGCATATCCACATGGAATTTGCGCACTACAAATGCTGTATTATTATTATTATTATTATTATTATTATTAATATTATTATGTCTCCCAACTAAACCTCCGCTAATAGTTTGTAACTTTTATTAAAGTTACTGTACAAGAACTATAAATGAGTAGCAACTTAAACTATGTAACTACGTCACTCTTTGCTGACAATTTTATCTTCTTTGGTAAACTATCTATTAAGCAACTTTAGAAACAAATCGTGGAAAACAAGTCAAGGCTTAGACATCGTTTTTTGCTCTCGCCCCCAATTTTGAAATCTCCCCGGAACCCGCGGTTCTGATCATGAAAATTGCGGCATTGATTTCTAGTTGAAGTGTGAAGATTTGGTTGTCACATATCATCCACAGATCAAATGTGAATGAATTCAAATGTTGTTTTTATCATCTTTAGTTAGTTTGTCGTGCCACCTTTGTAGATCGTTTTCACACGGGTAAAAAACAGTTATGCAAATGTATTGGAACAAGAAGGAAAATTATAATATGAGGAAGGAATTTACCCCTTAACTCCCAAAATTTGACTGTTAATTTTTACATCAATATATATGTGCCGCATATTTACCAGTAAATAAGTTACGAGAATTTGGTGTTAGATCAAGACAACAACTGGTACCTGATAAGTTTGAGTATTCTCACTACCTTTTTTCTGGATAATGGTTGGATATTATGGGTAGAAGTTACATTTTAATCACAAATGGGGATGAAAGGTTTAAGATTCCTAAGAAATGACTCGATCGGTCCACTCACATGGCCGACATTTTGATGTTTTGTTAAACAATATGATCTTTGAAACGTCCCGTAAAAACGGTTTATTCTTTTTTTATATTTGCGCAATTTTTTCCCTCTCATTTTTACGTTAATTTCTAGCAATTTAGCCTTTTTCTTCATTTTAGTTTCTCTGCTGGATTGAGGAAGCTTTTTTGGGCTCTGTTTGATAAAACAGATCTTGAAGCATTTGAATTTGAATCAAGCACGTTCTACATAACGCAGACGACTGGCGAGACTTTGTTTGCTATTTTCAATATCGTCGCCATTTTGATCTCGCTCAACATGCTCATTGCGATGATGTCGAACTCATTTCAGCAAATAGCGGTGAGCATCACTTCTCCAAAACCGAGGGAAATCTTACTCATTTAACCATTTACACGCTAGTATCAGTATACATGTTTTTTTTACACTATTCTCTAGAGAGGGGGCGGAGCGTTTTGAAAAGTGGGGGAAAGGGAGGGGGTGGTTTATCTTTTACCCAGCCATGTGTATACCCCCACTCAAATTTTCCAGAATGCCGTTTGCGTTGTTCATTAGCACAAGCAAACCTATTTGCGATCTTTACGGTGCGTCCGTAATCAATTCGTGACCTACTTTCATTTTTTTCCGGCACAGTCTAAATTTTTTAGCTTAGCTTTCGATTGGGTTCCCACAGACAAAATAAACTCGTCCAATTTCCTACAGTCGATACGCTTTCCACAGGCCGTAACTGTGAAAAAGAGGTTTCACAGCATAATATTTCACCAAGCGCGATGCTGATAAAAAGATATGTGAAAAGAGCACAAGATTGAATAACTCGCCAGTTTTTTTGCTTCGCTAACGATATTTCCGGTACCAAAGCGATGTTGTTGGGAAAAATGAGATGCAAGCTATTCTTTGCGATTAAAACCACGAAAAAAGCCTTTGCGACCGTTTCGTGACTTTGCACAAATCACCATTAATACACGACACGATCATCAAGCTGTGAAAGTCGAAACGTATCTAAGGCAACATCTCATGAAAATGATACCAAACGCCTCGAACACGGACTCACCTAACCTGAGGATCAGGCTCTCTAGGGGAGGGGAGAAGGAAAAAGAGAGCTCTCCTTTTCCTTCTCCCCTCCCCTCCCCTCCCTTCCCCTAGAGAGCCTGATCCTCAGGCTAAGACTCACCGCACTTTGTCATTTTACCACTTGAAACGGAGGACCATTTGTTGGTCTGGCGCTAACCGGCTTTTATTTATTAATTCATTTATTGTTTTTACCAATCTAGGACGATGCCGACATCCAATGGAAGTTTTCTAGAACAGGTATGTGGATGCAGTACGTTGACAAAGGAAGTGTCCTTCCTCCGCCATTCAACCTTCTGCCCAACCGGAAGCATTTTGTTGAATTATGTCGTCGTATTAAAAACTGGATCAAGCCTCAAAAGGTATGCAGAACTTTGACGTTTTTTTTTTGTTTTTGCTTTCACTCGGGAGAAACCGCCCCGACCACGATACTTGAAGAACCAGAAGTTTTTACGCGATCGCTTTACCCAGTATCAAGGTATTAGTATGACTGGTTACAAAAAATTGTTTGATTACAAATCAGAGACTAGTCAGTCGCGGAAAGCTTATTGAAAATAACGAGCAGGATTGCCGTGGAAAGTCGTATTCCTTTTTTATCCTCTCAAGAAAAATGTGTAATAAAACGCCCCATTAGAGATATTTCCCGTCACTGATAAAGTTATGAAATCATCTGTAAAACTAAACTGAAACGCTTCCATACGATCTCCTAATTCGGTAATTTCATTCAACTAAAGGTAGGGGACCAGTAAACTCATTATAATAGTTAATTCTGGTTAGCCGGAGATATTTGTAACATGATTGGTATTGGCTGTTTAACTGTCTGATTTGACCCGTTCAATATAACAATATAACAAACAGTTTTATAACAGCCCACAGCTCGAGAATTCAGTATGCACATTACTGATCTAACATCCTTCTAATACAGAAGCTTGGACTACTGTAATTTTATAGGCTACAAATTTTTCTATATTGGGTAAACTTTTCACGTATATACTTATCATATATATAACTCATATTTCCAAAACATACGTTTCCCAGCCACCTTATACGGAGCCCCTTCGAAGTCATCTATGTTCTTAGCAAGGACACTGAAATTTTTATTGATCGAGTTCATTATACATTATGCGCAGCACTGATGAATTAACGTTTGATAATAACTAGAAAGAGCGTTATGACGATTTGGATTCAAGTGAAGGCGATGAAGAACGTGACGAAGATATGATTGAGGTAATTGCGGTTACGGTTTGGCATTTCCTTGTGGTCTAGTTAACTCATACATGCAGTTCCTTATTTGGCAGCCATTTCCTTCAGGTGTTAGCAAAATATTTATATAGGCAGGAACGCTTTACCCGCAAATAGAAAAAATGTATTCATTTTTCACGACCGTGAGAAAAAGGACTACTCTGAATGAGACATCAGAGAGTGGCAACACTTCGGGGAATGGCAATACTCCCAGTCACTTCAGGCTCATGGGATAATCTACACCAGCAAAATTAATCAGTCTCGTAATAAAACTTTCTTTTGCTTCCCTAAAAGTCCGTTTTGTTTAATGGCTAAAAAAAATCAGTTTGAAAGTGTTTACTCTAAATGTTGTTGTTGTTTTTTATCCTGAATTTCGTGCCATCTCATAGTTTGATATCTACGTTTTACAGCGTGAGAAAATTCTCAAGCTCCTCATCGACCGTTACTTCTGTAACTCGCGTCAAGCCAGGGATCGACTCATACTCACCACTGCACCGAAAGCTTTTGGTAGTGGCGTTCAGGTAGGTGACCCTTTAAATCGAGCACCTTCCACTTCACTTCAGTTTGAATCATTTTATTTTATTTATTTAATCCCATTTCTTTAACACTGCCCTCACATCTCTAGTCTATCGTTTTGGCTGCTGTGGTTTGCAAATACCAACAGATTTCAGTTTGTTGTAACATGCACACTTAATGGTAAAAAAGATTGTGTTTTATCTCTTCCTTTCGTGGTTTTATTGTCTAAAAACATCTTCTACCCCAACCAACTTCTCGTTCAACTCTGCACACAAGTGTGACGCATACGCTAATCAGAACACGAACAACGAATCGGTTAACAACGAAACACGTTGAAAGTCAAGCAAAGTAATTTCTGGCAGTTTACATGTATTTGGGGTTTAAAGTGGTAACCTCTTTTGGCTTCATACGTGATGGAATTTCCCTCCTGTTACAATTGTAAATTTCTTGCCAATAAGCCGCAATTTCTCTTCTATAAGCCGCTTTCTTCACTTCTCGTGCCATCACTGTTCTGGGCGGTATTGCTCATCTGCTAACAAAGACAAGAAGATCAGTGTTATGGCGACCAAAAAAACGCTAGGCTACCTTGTCTTAATGCATACAGATGCGTTTAATGTATAAGCAGTCGACAGGATAAAGAGATAGTCTAATTAACTTGCTATTTATCCCATTTAGCCGGCTCTTCAGTTCATCACACAAGAGTGATTGCCTCACGACCCCTTCATAACATGATCATCGCGGTTGCAACAGTTTAAGAGAGATAAGAAATATGTTCAGCACTTCCTTGTAGAGGAATGTCTTCCCATGACTGTTTTCTCTGTCTCAAACAAATTCTCTTCCTTAACATCTAATTATTTTCGACTAGACCTTTGTCCAATTTAGTCCCTAATTCCCCTGGAGTAGCATTATTTTACAAGTCTTCAAAACACGTTATTGTTGGTAATTTTTTTCTGTCATTCTATATTTCTCCATTGCAGAATAAATCAATAGCGGCTACAGACCCATTTCCAAATCCCGGAGAAGAGCGAAAGCCTAAAATGCTTGGATGGTTAAGTCGCTTTCAACAAAAATAAACTGATTTTACCCATATAGTACACGAACATTAAATTTAGGATAATTTTAGAAGGTTTTTAACTAGCTAGTCGCTAAGAATGCAAGGCCTGGCTTCAGTTTATACGTAAAAAACAAAATGTGATTATAGGTTTCTTGACTCTTTGACATCGTTGAGTGCAGAGGGTCAACCTTACCTCAAATCACTATTTTAGTGCTCTCGTGTTTTAACTATTGGTCACGGGCCGAAACACTTTGCAAATCACGATCTGTCTATGCTTAGAGACAGAAATGCTTTTTTGTCTTAACCTAATATGCATTAAAATGCACTGAACATCTTAAACAGATAAAGCTTTTTGTGATAAGCAACAGATTAGTGATATAAATAGCTGCTACTTGAGATGTGACTAATTGCAATAGTTGCATTTTGTGACGCACAAATGTCAGGGAGGTGAACCATTGACGGCGTTATCAGGATAGGCAGAAACACGATCTGTTCATAAATTTGCGGAAATCATTTGTGATACACATTCTCCCAACTCCTTCCGTAAGTAAACATACGAACGATATAGTATTTTGATATGAACGGCAGGCTGTCGACCGCGTTAAACGTTGAGGAAATTACAAACGGTGGAGAGGTTGTATTTTCGCCACAACTGTGCTCTTCGCCGTCAATAGAAGAAGAAGAAATGGATGTCCTTGCTACTTCAATGAGCGCCGACGAGGAGTCACTGTTTGTTGCAGTTCGAAGTGGTAACAAGAAAGCAGTTCAAGATTTGCTCAGCACCAAACGTGTTGACGTCAATCGCCGAAATGCTAACGGTGAAACTGTTCTACAAATAGCAGTCGAAGAAGAAGCTCTCGACATCATGCAAACACTTCTCAAAAACAATGCTGAGATCGGTTCGGCGTTGTTTCAAGCCGTCAGGAACAATTCTTTGCAGTGTGTGAGAATTTTGGTGGCTTACGACAAAAGTCGTAAAAGCTTCGGTGCAAAATCGCTCGAAAACTTCTCCACCAAAGGAGGGGGGAAATGTTTAGGAAAGTTTGACGAATTTTTGACTCCACTCGGCTTGGCTGTGTTAAATGGAAACTACGAAATTGTCGAATTCCTTGTCAGTAAAGGTTACAAAGTTGAGGATCCAGCTACGCAGAAAAGTCAAGACTTCTCCGAACAATACGAGAGGGAATCGATGATCAGGCTTAAAAATTCTGTCGTGAAATTAAATACTTACCGCGCATTGGCGAGCCCTCTGTATATATCACAACTGTTCCTACACGAAAGCAAAAGTTTGAGTTCAAGGAAAGCGGAACATTCAGCCAGCGACCCATTGTTTCGGTCTATCGTTTTAAAAAGGAAATTAAAAAAACTTTCCTTTAGTGAAGGCGAGTTTCGAGATGATTATCGAGCTCTGTCCGCTCAGTGTGAAAATTTTGCGATTCGCTTGTTGGACGAATGCAGAAATCTCGAAGAAATCGCCGCTGTCATGGACATGCCGGAACTGGACAAGATGGAGGAAGACTTGTATCTGAGGAATAAGGAACAACAATTGCGCGTGCTCAACCTCGCTATAAAGTATCAGAATATAAAGGTATGCAAGAGTAAAATAATAATGTCGTAATTCGGGCAAATAATATCATTGTAGCAATATATTCTCCAATTGGAGTTGTATCTTTCTTTGATGCTAAAAGGTCAGCGAGAAAATCAGACTATCTGGGTTGTCGGTGTTTCTAACAGATAAACAAGGTTATTGGTCTTTAAAGAAACTTGTCATTGCGCAAGTTTATAAGCCAGCTATTGTAGACGAGGTTATTAGTTACTAAAGAAACCATTGCGCTGCGTCAGCGAACGAGTGAGTTAATCAGTTTGTTATCAAATGTAAGTCGATAGAGGGAAATAATCGTCCTTCGAAAATTTTGAAAAGCAGTTTATCCACCTTAATCAACTTATAGTCGATCGGAAACTAAATTACTCCGATAGATAACTTGAGGCCTCATAATTATCTTTAATAAGCATAGAAATAGTCTTCTAAAGGCTCAAGCTCGCTGTCTGGTCATTGTTTATCATGGACCGTTGACTAAATTCATTGCCTTGAGGCCAAGAAGTAGAAATTAAAAAACGCAATTGTTCAATCATGTAAATACTGAACGCAAGTCTGAGAAGAATGCAAACAAAAGTTTTTTTCTCATTAAGTCTTGACAACCCCCTATTGACGTTTTGTTGCTTGAAATACTTGAAATCAAAGACCATTACACTTAATAGCCTCTTGACGAAGCATTAAGGTTTTGTGGTTTTGAAAAATGTTGAAGGGAGTATTTAACGCTTCGACGCCTCACAGACTTAAGAGGTATTATCACATGGCAGGGTATTCCTGAGATAACTTCGAGCGTTCTTATTGATTCTTAATCGGGCGGGATTTTGCCAAACGTACCGTTTTCACGGAAATGATCGTGAGCCGTGTATCGTTGTTCTCGAAAGCCAGCAAATTCGAAATGGTAAAAGTTTAGTTCGCGTGCCATATAAGAGACTACTGAAATAAGAAAGATGGCCCTTAGGCCTATATTCCCTAGTGTGGCTCTCCTGCTCCGTTAATTACTTGTTTATTAAACCGCCAGATGCTCGTAGCTCGTGCATCTGTCTGTACGCTGTTGTATCGCGCGTTTTCACAAAGTATTATTTCCTTTCTTAATTACAAACTCATTTTCTCGAGGAGCACATGGTAAATTTTCTGATGCATTCATAGCTGCAAATGTCATAACCATAGAAATTAACCTCTGACTTTCAGATATATGTTTTTGTTTTTTGTTTTTTTGTGTTCAGTTCATAGCTCACCCTTACAGCCAGGTAATGCTCAACTCAGTGGTCTATAAGGGTACATCTGGTTGGCAGCAAATGCGTTTTCCTCTCAAACTGTTCCTGGTGATTTTGTACGCTCTTTTCATGCCGCTGTGCATGCTGGTGTATCTGCTCACTCCAACCAACTCTCTTACAAAGAAGTTAGAGATACCCTTGATGAAGCTGATGAGCCAGGTCTCCTCTGTTATGTGGTTCCTGGTTCTGATAACACTGTCTGCTTTCCAGGATTATTATGAGTCGTCCTTGCGATTGTCGGCAATGAGTAAGTAGACATGCCATCGTTAAGAGAGAAGAATAAACTACGGAACCCGCATTATTTTTATCCTCACGTTTAAAAATTTGTTTAAAATCAGGAATCGTTCAGTCGGTTGGTCAGTCAGTCAGTCAGTCAGTCAGTCATTAATATAAGTTAATTATGGCTTCTTACCCCATTATGACATTTCAAACTGTGTAGATATTGACTGAGTGGGAGGGACGAACGGAAAAATATTTAGCTAGAGATCATGACGCACGGACCGAGCACACAAGTGTCCGTGCGTCATGAACGAGAACCAAATATATTCCCGTTCAGCCCGACCAAACTCGGCAAAAAAGCATTTCATCACATGAAAATTAAGTGTTGAAAATTTTTTATTCAACTTGAATGGAATGCGATAGACGGACACACGCAGGACGACCAAAGAAAAGATTCTGCAATGAAAACTATTTTTTCTCATGATTCATCTAAAAACGCGACCTCATTTCTCATTTATAATTTCTTTCAAGCGCAAATCTACAAAAAGAATTCACTAATTTTTGAGAACTTACACATTTTCTTTTTTCAAAGACGTGGAACGAGTGCAACCAGTTCGGCCTTACACACATCAGCTTTCATTGAAGTTTTCTATAGGATTGCGCGTACAAAGCCGAACGGTCATGTGGTTAAATAATCATATAAAGAACATAACTATTATTTGCTTTTTAGAGCATAGTACGTCCCCTTCAAGTGTAATATAGGGATCATTATGAAGCTTCTTCAATAGTAGAGGAGAAACCGAAATAGTGAGACAAGCTATAAATTGATATTTTTTGAAGTTTGAATCACTGTTACTAGCAATCATTTTCCTCTCATTTAACCCCATCATCATTCTAAAACTCTCGTTTCTTGTCCACATAGATGTAATCATTGGCATCTGGGTGATTGGAATGACAGTTCAAGAAGTCAAACAAGCACTTCATCAAGGAAAAGAGCGATACTTTTCCGAATGGTGGCACCTTGCTGTAATACCCATGATCATCTCCTATATCATAGCCGCTGTTCTATGGATCGTGGGCTACGCATACATAGCCTCGGATTCGGGTGAATGGACCGTGCACGTCCGAGAGCTACTGGGTTCCACATCCCTCACACCGTACCACCTGTTGCTGTTATCCAACAGTTTTTACTCCTTTGCAGTTGTACTTACTTTCTTCGAAGCCTCTCATACTCTACAAGTGAACTCTACCTTGGGGCCGCTACATTTGTCTCTTATGAATATGGGCAAAGATATCTTGAAGTTTTTTCTTCTTTTTGCTCTCAACGTTTGTGCGTTTGCCCTTGCCATGAGAAAACTGTACTCACAGTACGTGCAGTCGACCACAGCACATGTTGATATGGAAAACAACAGCACCACAACCCATGCTTTTGAAAGGTAACAAATATAATGATGGTGACAAAGTTAATCTATTTAAGACTTCCCAGAGATTTAGAGAGTGTTAGGGCAAAGAAAAGGGGTCACAAACAAATGGACTGCATCATTCTCGATTAGCCTCCATGGAAATGAAATCATTAGTTACAGTTCGTCAAAAATTTCCACCGGCGCCTCTGTCATTGATAAAACAATCATGGGGCAGACCAGTGGTTTTAAAGCAAGTTTCTCTAAAGTTAGTTAAATTGTTAAAGAACTTTTGGTTCGCTCATAATAAGATTAATTTTCAGTTAAAAGTTTTTCATGATGACAAATGGCCTTTTACATACTTTCCCTTGAGCCCCATGTTATTTTGGCCAACTACCCAGCGTGCACAATTTACCGTTCGAACCGTTCGAATCGTCCGATGGAAAGGTTATATTACACTCGACTATTAGCAAGAGGACTTAAACACGAAGGCACGCTATATAAGGAAGTTTTCACTGGGAAGACCTAGGCTCATTTGTCACTCACGGTTGACGTGTGCGGGTCAAATTCAAATGCTGGTAGACGAACAAAAGGAGCTAANAGTTCTCCATACTATTCGCCATACCTTTCCTTAGGTAGTTACAAGAAGAATTTTTTTAACAATCAAGAGCTTCTTGACCTCTCAATCATTTTCTTTGTTCACATAACCTTTGTGTTTGATTCAGAAGTGATACTGTTTGGGGAAATTAGATATACTTAACACTGGAGGGGCTAAAGGGTAAACTATTCATCTATCTCCATAAAAAGGCACAACTTTATAACTGTGATCAAACCATGTGAATATCATTATCAATATCTTCTCCCTTTCAGATCAGCGGGACAAAACAATTGTTCATTTATGAACCACATGATAACATGAGACTGTATGAAGCTCACATTCAGGAAGCTAAACTCGACTACAATCCTACAAACAAGAAATTCCGTCGGAAAAAACTTCTGGAAAGTACCTCAATGGTGATGTCTCCAGTTGATATCCTTAAACCAGATTATCAACGATTTCCAAAATTTAAGGAGGCACAGGCTTTGAATTGTACAATAAATGAAGGCGATGTTCTGTTTATGCCTTCTTTTTGGTGGCACGAGGTCCAGTCATATCCAAGTAAGGAAGAGCCAAGAAATGTGGCAGTGAATTTTTGGTAGGTCTCTTGACCCCAGGTTGCATATTCTCCATACTGTTCTCTGTATTTTTCTTGAAGTGCTGACAAAATGAACTTGTCTAACAATCAAGAGCTTCTTTAGTTGGTGATCATTTCCTTTATTCTTATGACTTAAATGTTTGATTCAGGGTGATATTGTAGGGAGAAATTAGATGTCAGTCACTCAAACAAATTCTCCTTGTCAGCACCTTAAACACGAAGGCGCGCTATATGAAGAAGTCTTCCCTGAGAAGACCTAGGCTCATTTGTCACTCACCATTGACATGTGTGGGTCAAATTCAAATGCTGGTAGAGGAACAAAAGGAGCTAATGAGATATCTATTGTTTACTTCTACCAGCATGGTGGTATGAGGTAACGTGCGAACCACCTACTTCGATTTCAAATTTAGCGCCACAAATAGAGACAGTTTCCATTGGAGAAAGGAAATACAAATCTCAAAAATTCTTGTATTGTGATAAAAACATAAAACAATTTTGAGGAATGCGCCCGCTGTTCACTGCTTTGGAGTAGCTGTAACTCAAGCTGACTTGACGCTAAGAGTTCTACATCACACGAAAGTTGATTGACAAATGGTTCAGTGGAATCTAAGGTTCCTTTTATAGCGCTCCTTCGTGTTTAACTAGGCGAGCGTCAAAAGAGAACTGTAGTAGCAAGTTATATTATTTCCTCTCTTATTTTTGAAACTGAGGCGCAAAAATGTGCAATGAGGATCCAGGCTAAACATGACATCGAAATCGAGACACAACGAGTTCAAAAATTTTCATTGTAGAAAAGAACTTCACAAACTCACTATTTGTAAATCTTATAAATCTTCTCTATCCTTAGTAATCTAGGTCCTGTTTTTATTTTGTTTTAATTTTTTTTTTCTCCATTTCGGTTTTTGTTTACTTCAGCCAAGTATTCTCATTTGAAACCACTTCTCCATGACGCGAAAAAATGAATCGCATGTACTCACAATATATTGCCTGGCGAGCCTGGTAGGGTATTTTCATGAGAATTTGTCTACTTTCTCTCATAGTATCGATGGCGTTGTAAGTACTTTATTCTGGGCCCTGTTCGGGCATGTGGAAATATCGACCTTTGACACGAATGAAAACGCTATGATAACCCAAGTCACTGGAAATCTGCTCTTCGCCACTTACAGCCTCGCTTCCGTGTTAGTTGCCATGAACCTCCTGATTGCGATGCTTAGTAATACTTTCAAGAAAGTTTCTGTAAGTAGGGGTAATGTACAAATGCTGCTATAGTATTAACCTAAAGCAAACTCATTCCAATTTTTCATCGGAGTGGAAACGTAAGCCAAGGGGGGTTTGTTTTGGAAGTTTCTTCTTGGATGCCTGGGGCATCAGTTCGATGGTTACATTAATTATCAGACTTCATTTATGAGGGATGCATGACATCAGCTGCGTTTAGGATGCGGTGGTCTTACGATAAACGCTTAAGGATGTAGTTCGAAGTGTCTGGTTTTAGCACAAGACAGGGGCCATTCTATTGTGTTCCTTCCAGACGCCTATTTGTTGAGGTCCCTCTCCCTACTTTAGGGGTTGTTGAAATGCTGGGGAAACCTGAATAAGTAATGGATGGGGGCGCAGGGGGGGGGGGGGAAGGAATGTGAGTAAATTGCAATTGGCCAGCATCCAAACCATAGGAATTGGTAGAAATTTAGTCACTTTAACAATCACTGGTTTTCTATGAGGAATAAAGTTTAGATAATCTCACAAATATTCTCAATACGTAATTCCCAAATGAACATAACTTAGAGTTCCTTACCTACAGTTGACAGTATGAACAATGAAGGGTTTCGGAAAGCTGAATAAGATCAGGAAATCGATCGACCAAATTATCTATAATTAAATCGTTACTATTTCCGAGTATTTCTCTCCATTCCCTTGTGCAACATCATCTTCAGGAGTTATAAATGGAATTTCCGCTTTCGTTCATTCCTTTCTCTGTGCGCCATTAAAGTGCATCCAACTGTAATCTCGTAGGAGGAGAAGGACATCAAATTCAAGTTTGCCCGGACCCGTGTTTGGATGTATTACGTCAGTAGGATCAGTCCTCTACCTCCTCCGTTTAACTTGTTTCCGGTCGAAAAGATCGCTTTGGGAATCCGCCGGCTCGTGACACGATGCACCTCAATGGGGGAGGTAAGTAATAGAGAACATTGACGATAACTGCAAAAAATGTGGATGTTACTCTCTCGTCTTGTAAACCAAATAAGTTAGGAGTGATCAACGTGAAACTTCTCCTCGTTATTTTACTTCATTATTTAGAAAAGTATAAATCAGAATATTCAAAGTGATCAGCCGGAAAGAGTTGTCTTGATGTAACGCTTAATTCTCTTAACTCCTATGTCAAGGAAATGTTTGGCAAATAGAAGGAGGAAATGATGATTACTTAGTCGGATCTTTAAACTTAAGGTACTCCTTCTCTCCTCCTCTCCCAATCAATAAAAAAGAGTTATGAGCTTTATCAACCCTATCAACGAGTTTTATTTAATCTTATCTTCTCAAGTGTCTCGTCTGCAATGAGAAGCAAGAATCGTCTCCAAAAACCAAGACAAGTGAGAGGAGAGTAAGTTTAATTCATAGACTTTATTAGGATCAGCCCATAGGGCCGGTATACTTTCGTGGAATGACACAGTTATGAACAACTGTACGGTAGATAGAGGTAACGACGCGCAATAATGTACTTCGAAAGACACACAACAATTGATTACTGAGCTTTTCTTTTGAAAGCTGATAGGTAAATCTGGCCTACCTCGGCAAAAGTAAACTTTTTCCCAGATAAAACACAGGCCCCAAGATGGATGGATGATAGATTTTATCTCTGGCCGTGCCCTTTTCTATGAAAAAAAACAAAACCTGAGTAATTTCAATAGGAGATAAAGGAAACGAACCAATAGGAGAACTCGTAAATAGCCGCAATCGTGGGAAAACACCAGTCATCTGGTTGCGATTGGTTTTTAGGCATGCATCTGATTGGTTAGAACTGAGGCACTACGAATTGTTTCCTAAACCAATCAGAAGGCACTGTAAAGCGAAAAAGAAAAGATCATCCAAGATTATTAAAAATTGTCAAAAAACTGGCACTAATCATTACCAGAAAGAATATCCGTAACAGTGGTTCAAAACTGATCATGCCAACATCTGGCGAAATTAGTGTTCATATTTGTCGTTAGGCCTTTGCACTGCCTTTAGTCGAAAACTCATTGTTTTGTGTGTTTCATAGCGTCGAATGGTCATCAAAAACCTAATCCACCGCTATTTTGCTGTGAACGGAAAAACACAAAAAGAGGATGCGGTTGAAGATTATCCACCTCCAGAAGAGTTACAATGCAAACTGATGGAGGTCACTAATACATTACAGAATATACAAACCGCGATAAAGCGGTTCCGTCAACAAACACCAACGGTGAGTCACTTACACTGTTTCTGCCACTGAGTTTCTACCACTTTGGGACGCAACTGGTATTCTTAAACAAAGTGCACTAGTAATATGCTCGATGTCCGCTGCTTGGTTTTCTAACCAAAGAGAAAGGCCCCAAAAGTGTTACTGTGGTGGAAAGAGTATTCAGACTAATTCAGAATCGAACTGTTTGCGCTTTACATTAACTTTCCTTCTTTTTTTTTTTTTTTCTTTAATTATTATTCCAGGAAAACAACAAGAATGAGAAAACAGAATCAATCGAATGATGCAGCCTGTTTTAAAAAATTCATTGCCAAGACAATAATTTACTCGCCTTACCAGCGAGACGGATTTTGAAATGAAAAATAAGTTGTCAGTGTAAAGTGGAAGATTTTGTTATATAATAACAGTTAATCACTTGGCCACTCTTGTACATACGACTAAATATATCTTATTGTGTATGCTCGATGATCAAAGAATTAAGTGTTTTCAAGAATGCTGAAATAGCTTTGTGCCAGTCGATTTAAGACACAAATGGATCGCTTGTAATGTGAAGGAGCCTTAACACCAATACTGAGCTGTCCTCCTGTGTCTCCTATGTGGTCGATACAGTTTAAAACAGTTGTTAACTGTCTCTCATCCACGATAATTAATTTTAACGTCTTGTTATGAGTATAACATTGCTCACAATTACTAAAGAATTGTCGAAGTTTTAATGGACAAAGATTACAAAATCAAGAATCCATTAGCGTGACATTTCATATCATCATGAATGTCAACGGAGAACCGGAGCGTAAAAAGTGAAACAATTAAACCGATCTCTCTTTTATCAATGCTCACTGCCTTGTTCTGTATTTTTATCATCATGTCGGTCTATAAGACATCGTCTACGAGCTAACTTTCCCTTATTGTTCATGTTCTTCTCTCCTCTCCGAACCCACAACTCCGACGGGTTTCGTTTTATCCGTTGCGCACCATGTCTACTTC